ACACACAGACTGTGAGTGTTTGTAATAGCTCAAAATTATGTGCGTTGGTAACTAATTGCTCAAATTTGCAAATCCCAGTAGAAAAAGCTGTCTTGAATCTGTTCCCCAGTGCTTTCTTTCAATACATGACTCTCATCAAACCTAGAAGCAAAAGTTTAAATCCATCGACATGCAGAGTAAATCCACAAAAGCGACAGCGCAATATGGTGCCACCTTTAGGCGCATGTTTGGCAACATACTGTAGAGTCGCTACTTAAACCGTGAGGAGAGAATTCGAACTGACTAAATAAATGCCACAATTAACTAAAATTATCCAATATTTGCACAAGGCAAAGCAGGTGCATATAGTGCAATTTAATGAACCGTACGCTTTAAAGACCAAAGTTTGTTAATTGACGCAAACACAATCGTCATATCCATTATTTGTAAAGGGGCCTACGCGCTGGATGGTGTAGACAACGATGGAGGATGACAAAGCTTGGAAATGCAAGATAAGTTTAACATTGAGAAACATGCATAATAGTTTGTTAGCCAAAGGTAAACTGGAACAGCTGCGTTGTGATAACAGGATGACAAAAAACGGTGCAAACATCTGTTATTAAATCCAGAGTAAGTCTGCATGGACGGTTAACTATGAAGCGCCATGTAGCTTTGCCAAGGATGTGTGGGTCAAAAGACAATAACGAGATGAAAGAATTTAGAAGTAGGTAAAAGAGGAAGAAACCTATGCAAAACATATTTGTTCTGAGGCTCCGCTCTCTACTTCACACTAATTCTGCATCAAACATTTTGACTGGAATGTGACGTGCATAGTCAGCCAGCAGTATTGCGTCAGATCAATTTAGGCGAGAGACTGAGATGCAAAGTAACGCAAGAAGATGGGTTGGAATGATTAATGAAGATAGGTTGTCAAGCTGTTTGTTCGCAAGTGGATTCTGTTATTTTAGTATTGAAGTCATCACCGATTTTAACGTGTCCGTAGTCGATCTTCTCTAGACCTGTTTTCCTTCAAATAGCCCTTTATCGTTGAATTCTATCTATGGCATGTGTTTCGTAATTTCGATTGACAAAGAGACTGGTCATTTTCTTACACATG